ATTAATATCTGATTAAATTGTAGTTAATGCATACAAAAAAAAAAAACATTGCGGCAAAAACAAAACCCATGACAAGTTATAGCCTTGTCTTAATCCTTTGTGGCATAGATTCAACAAGTACTGGGAATATTCCTCAGAGATATTTGTCCATATTGACATGATAGCATCACGCAGTTGCTGCAGATTTGTTGCCTGCACATCCATGATGTGATTGTCCTGTTCCACCACATTCCAAATGTGCTCTATTGGATTGAGTTCTGGTGACTGTGGATGCCATATAAGGAACTTTTTGTAATGTTTAAGAAACCAGTCTGAAATGATTCATGCTTTATGATATGGTGCATTATCCTGCTGAAATTAGCCATCAGAACATGGGTACACTGTGGTCATAAAGGAATGGACACGGTCAGCAGCAATGTGGCGCTGTGGCGTTGATATGATGCTTAATGGGTATTAATGAGTCCAAAGTGTCCCAAGAAAATATCCCTCTCACCATTACACCACCACTACCACCTTGAACCATTAATACAAGGCAGGATTGATCCATGCTTTCATGTTGTTGATGCCAAAATCTGATCCTACCATCTGAACGTGGCAGCAGAAATCGAGTCTTATCAGACCAGGCAAAGTTTTTCTAATGTTTGCCTGTGCAGTTTGCTGTTCTTAGCTGACAGGAGTGGCACCTGGTGTGGTCTTCTACTGCTGGAGCCCACCCGCTAATGATTCGAAGCGTTGTGCTTTCAGAGATGCTCTTCTGCGTATCTCGGTTGTAGTGAGTGGTTATTTGAGTTACTGTTGCCTCTCTATGAGCTCGAAGCTGTTTGACCTTTCTCCTGTGACCTCTGGCATCAACAAGGCATTTGCGCCCAAAGAACTGCCGCTCACTGGATATTTTCTCTTTTCAGAGCATTCTCTGTAAACCCTGGAGATGGTTGTGCGTGAAAATCCAAGTAGATTAGAAGTTTCTGAAAAACAACCTGTCTGGCACCAACAACAATGCCAGGTTCAAAGTCACTTAAATCACCTTTCTTTCCCATTCTGATAGTCAGTTTGAACTTGGGCAGATTGTCTTGACCATGTTTATATGCCTAAATGCATTGAGTTGCTGCCATATGATTGGCTGATTAGAAATTTGTGTTAACAAGCAGTTGGACAGGTGTGCCTAATAAAGTGGCCATTGAGTGTATATTAAAATAAATGCTATGATTTTAAAGAAAAAATAATAATAAGTGTACTGAATTATTATACTGAATATTATACTGAAATATTATGATAAACTGTGGGAATATTTTCTTTAAAACTCTGTTTTGCATATGTATGTGGAATACATTTTATAACTATAAATGTTCTATAACTCCATTGTAAGTTGTCATTTTATTCTCTCCAGGCTCATGAACAATTAGATTCAAAGCAGGCCTCGTGAATCAGTGCCAAATGACATCCTCTCTGCTATATCTCTGTTCAAGACACTACCACTCCAACAGTGTGCCAGACCATCTCAGGGAAATAAACAGAGACTCAAGATCAACAAAACACACTCGTGCTGTAATAGAGTTCTGGCTAGTGTGACACAAGTCATTCAGCGCTTCACCCAGTCGGTCTGCGCTGCAGGACCGTAGCTTGTCTATGTCTGTTAAGTTGACAGAAATGTCATGACACAGTGCATTACGCTTCTGGACCCGCAGTCTCTGAGACGGCATGACAGCTCACAAATACGATTTAGAGCAACAAGCCTGGATACATGTAATTACATTGTGCTATGTTTGGATAAGCAGAACAGTATTGTTATGCGCACACAAAACCAGATAAAGCCCTCAACTTCAACCATGTAAATTTTCAATCAAGGAGCTTGTAAGACTCAGGATGGTTAATCCAAATGTTTTCATTTCAGTTCGACTGATTAAAAAAAGCAAACAAATAAGAAAACGTTTGGTTTTAATCTCTGGAGTTTGAAATTGTTCATGGGCAGTGAATGGAATGTGGTTTTACAGCTTGGTGCATTGAAAAATTGTTAATCCCTCTCTTTTTTTTTTTTTTTTGTCTTCATAGTTTTAGCCTAACACGAATCAACCTGCAAAACTCTCATTGTTGTAGCATTTCGAAACACAATTCCATCAGCAAGTTTTGAATATGCCCAAAATGCACAATATGCAGCACATGCCGTGAGGACAAACGTCGAAGGATAAGCCAAGCGCTTTTCCTTCCTGCTGGGGGTCATGGTGGCTGAGAAAGAACAGTGTTGGTCTCACAGTCCCGGTGTCATGCGGTATAGGGAAATGTCTGATTTTGCCTGCCTGTTGTCAGAGTTTCCTTCTGTGGACAGACAGCGTGATCTCACTCCTAATAGAGACCTGCAGACACCTAAACACCCGTTTCTGTTCAGCCAGTAATTATAGTGTTTATTTCCTATGGGTCAGTTGCAGCCTCCTGGTCATCAACTTCCACATCTTTTTGCTGGCATGGTGTGGCTACAAAGAGCGGCGTGCTCTTTCTGCCTCTCTGGAGGAGAGAGTTTCTGCCCTCCCTCAGCGTCTCTCAGATGTGAGATGTGGTTACATAGGCATTTTCTATTTACGTGTTCATCTGTGTCCATGCTGGACGGAGATGATGAATGCTTCCTCTGAGAGCTGGCCGGCTCTTTGTGGGCAGGTTAGCAAGGGGAGACAGGGACAGAAGAGGGAGCGGGGGTGACTTTTGGGCTCCCAGGGGGCAAGCTGTGCTCTGAACCTTCTTGACTTGGCTTCCACGCATTCTCTCTCACGTGTGAATTGCCTCATCTGGCCCAGAGGATTTAAACTAATGTCAGCCCAAGACTGGGTGCACTCTTAATCATCTTAGGAGCGAGAGCTGGCAACAGCAGGGGTTGTGAGAGGGGAGAATCAGGCCTGCTTGCTGTCTCCTGAGACGCCGGTATTGTGTCCTAGGTTGAGAGATGCAGACAGAGAGATATGTGGGAAGGAGGAAACGGAGTAAAGAAAACAGAACGAGTTGACCGAAGAGACATTATGCACCGTGTGCATTCTCAAACCAGACAGATGACTTTATGACCCGCTTATTGGTGTCATATTGGCTTACCTGCTAAGACTTGCTGCTCTTTAAGCCTGAAGTCAGCAGGAAGCATCCACATGCTTTTCGTCTTTACTTATTAGGCTGTTGTCTTTCGCTCTGTTAACTGACTCTGTCAGAGAGTTGTCAATCAGCTGTGTAGGGATGTCATTATGATGCTCTGTAACAATTGTGTGCATATTAGAGAAAGCTCAGATGGAACGTTTGACAATTTGTATTTTTGGAGGGTATGATGTGTAAAAATAAAACTTTAAACTGGAAATGTATTCTATCTAAATAAACAACAGTTAAAAAGTAAAATCGTTTGTTTCACATGGTACTAGGAATTTAATATTTTGATGTGTTATTAGATTTGTCTTTGTGCTCCGGTTTCCCCCACAATCCAAAGACATGCAGTACAGGTGAATTGAAAAAACTTAATTGGCCATAGTGTATGAGTGTGAATGAGTGTGTATGGATGTTTTCCAGTACTGGGTTGCAGCTGGGCATCCGGTGGGTAAAACATATGCTATAAAGGGACTAAGCTGAAAAGAAAACGAATGGATCAATGAATTATTAGATTTGCATTATATATTTATACAGTTGGTGCAAGTGATCTGCCCTTCTGTGAAATTTTGAATCTCTTAAAAATATTTATTATGATTTATTTTTCAACACATTTTCAACAATATTTTATTAACGAATTTCTTTGTCTATGCCATGATGACAGTAAAATAATATTTTTCTACCTATTTAGTATACTAATGTTCAGCTTAAAGTACAATTAAAAGACTTAACTAGGTTATCATGTTAACTAGGCAAGTTAGAATAATTAAGCAAGTCTTTTGACAACAGTAGTTTGTTCTGTAGGCAATTGAAAAAAAAATCTACAGGGGAATGATAATGCTGACCTTAAAATTATTTTAAACAATTAAAAACTGCTTTTATCCCAGCCATATTAAAATAAATAAAATGTATTTATTTAAAACTATAGGAAATGCAGTTTGAACATTTATTTTGTCTGGTAAACATCACTTTGCAAATATTTAATAATAATACTAATAATTAATAATAATAATAATAATAATAGAAATTTAACAGAAGGGCTAATGATTTTAACGTCAACTACATATATACTGTACAAATAGTGCAGTTGAAATCAACATTACATTATGATTACATTACATTATTATTACTAAATAATTACATATTTTTAAACTAATGTAATCTAATTTAAACGTGTGATTCATGTTAACTGTTAATTGTTTTTGTTTGTTGTCTCTCAGACCCATGTAACATATATACTGCCTAATCTTGGCCAGTACACTCTTGTAAAAGTGATTTTTATTCTTAATGTGTCTTTCCAGGTAAAATAAAGGGTTTAATAATAATAATAATAATAATAACAATAATAATAATAATAATAACAATAATAATAATAATAATAAAAATCAACATGTCTTCAGTCAGTGTTTGTAATAAACAGAGCAATATTATGTGCTAATGTGGATGCTAATATAGATGTAATTAGCTTTATAGTTACCATTCTTGTGAACAGGCTTTTAACAAAATAGTTTTTGCAGTGTCAAAGATTAAGGAAATGTTGGAGGAAAATATAAAAGATAATGTAAAAAAAATGTGGAATGAGCATTGCAATTACAGATCCACTATCAAGTGTTTTAGTTTTTGAGCCTAATAATAAATGTCATGTGAGTGGGCCGATCTCCAGCTGTTGCAAAGAAGCAGGTGTGAAGATAAGAAATCATTGTGGGTCTCAGTCTTATATCCTTCCTGCATGTATCAGGCAGTGGAACACTGCATTCAATCACTTTCATCTGCACCTCAGACCTTAGTTTTCACATTTACTATAACAGGTTTTCTCTCTTTTTGTTCTTCTTCCTGCCTCTCTTTCTTTCTTTCTTTCTTGTCTTTCCTTTCCTCTTTCTGTTTCACAGGTCGTGGACACCTTGAGAAAGAGGCACAGACGGAAAGAGAGTGAGAGAGAAAGACTCGAGAAGAAAGAGTGGAGTACAATGTGCTAGGAGAGTGAAGGCAGACAAACTCTCGTGTTTTTCTGATATTCTCGGGGTGTCAGAGAGACCAAGCAGGACGCCAAGATGGGACGGAAGAAGATACAGATCACGCGGATCATGGATGAGAGGAACCGGCAGGTCAGTCCACTTTTTTTTCTACACATAGTTTTACACATAATCTACACAATAAGTGTGTTTCTCACAATAAGAAATGTGTTTCTCAAAAAATATTAGTATGGTAGCTTAACAGCATTTTAGGACATTATATGTACGTATGTTTAAAATGAGAAAATTATGATCTACTAGTTCCAAATAGGTTACTGATTAATGTTACTCTCTGTCTATTTATGGGCTTGGTCAGTATATGATTTTCATTTTTATTTATACATTATTAAAACATTTACATGATTGGCAACAATTACATTTATTAAATTACACTAATAATTTATTGGAGTGTCACGGTGGTGCAGTGGGTAGCACAATTGCTTTACAGCAAGAGGGTCACTGGATCGAGCCTCGGCTGGGTCAGTTGGCATTTCTGTGTGGAGTTTGCATGTTCTCTCTGAGTTAACGTGGGTTTCCCCTGGGTGCTCCGGTTTCCCCCTACAAGTCCAAAGACGTGGTATAGGTGAATTGAGTAAGCTAAATTGTCCGTAGTGTATGCGTGTGAATGAGTGTGTATGGATGTTTCCCAGTGATGGGTTGCAGCTGGAAGGGCAACCGCTGTGTAATGAACTAATGACGCTGGACTAATGAAGCCGAAAAGAAAATGAATGAATCAATGAATTATTAGATTTGCATTATATATAATATATACAGTAAGTTCAGTTTAGTTTATATATATGGGTGTTTCCCAGACCTGGATTGCAGCTGGAAGGGCATCCGCTGTGTAAAATATATGCTGGATAATTTGGCAGTTCATTCCACTGTGTAACTCCTGATGAAGTTTTCAATTGAATTGAATTCAATTCATGTTTATTTGTAAAGCGCTTTTACAATGTAGATTGCGTCAAAGCAGCCTTATATAGTTCTAGTAAAGTCCAGATTTCAGAGTTGAAGTTCAGTTTAGTTTAGTTCAATGTGGTTTAGTTTTCACTGCTGAAATTTTAAACACTGAAGAATAAATCCATCGATGTGCAGCTCCACAAGTCCCGACAACTCCACAAGTCCCGACAACTTCACCAAATAAATAAAGGGACTAAGCCTAAGCAAAATGAATAAATGAATGTTGTTTTTTTAAACTTCTTTTAATCAAACATCCAGTAAATAAAAATGTAAAAATCTATATAAATAAATCAAATGTGACTTGATATTGAAAGCTGTAGTAATGAGTAAATGAATAAATTACACTAAAACAATTAGCTTCTATTTTTTAAAAATGTTTTTTTTTTCTTTTGGAAATATGCCAATATATTATTGGTTTCATCGTATGTATGATCAAATAAATGCTGAGAATCCTACTGGCCCTAAGCTTCTAAACGGTAATATAGGTTATGAAAGGAATATTTTGTGCGTTAGATTCAATAGAACATGCATCCCTTCTTGAATACATACACAGCAAACACAGCAAGCCTGAAAGACCCATTTGATTATTGCTTAGTTTGGGCCATCTGTTCATTGGCTAAACATGTTGTCCCAGCATTCCTGGATAGACACACAGCAAGAGCCATAAAAAGGGACTGGGACACATTTCCAGCCATATTTACAGACGCGGCTCCCACACACCACCCTGCAATTTGGGTCCGGAGAAGCTGATGAGGCAGACAGAGCTGGTGTGAGCCAGTCAGTGTGGCAGAGGCACAAACAGAGCACAGGGTGACCGGGGTGAATTGGGCCGACTGTGGCCTCTCCCTTCTTCCCCTCTCTCTCATTCTCTTCACACTAGTGGGCTTGTGCCGGGACCCAGTAGGGCCCATTGCATCGCTCCCTGTGGTTGCAGCTGCTTGGTAGTAATTAGGAGCAGCCACTGCACCACGGCACCCTCTCATTACAAGGAGGGACAGTGAGACGTGCTGTGCCCTTCTCTCTTTCTCCATCTCCCTATTTTTGCTTCTCTCTCTTTCTCTCTCTCTCTCTCTCTCTCTCTCTCTCTCTCTCTCTTTTCCTGTCCTTTCCTCAGAAAAGTGCCAATGATCTGGCCAGCGACTGAGACAGACTGGTATTCACCCTTGTCTACTCACGCTAAATATAAATAACATAACGCAGCCCTGTCTGGTCACTTTCTCTGACAGCGTCGTCTTAGAGAAGGGGAAATACATGTACAAAACAGATGTGGGGCACACACAGTTCCGCTCAAACATACATGGCATGTCTAATGTCCGTTTAAAAGGGGAAGTCACTCCATTTGTCATTTTTAAAGATCTGATTATGACCCAAGAATGCATCAGTCCACGTCTCTCCAGCTAGACTTGATGCACCCATTCACACCCGCTCAAAATATCATTTGCACTGTCTCGTCGGTGAAATAACTTTTCTTGCCATGCTCACGGAAAGCTAATTGAGGTTTTGCTCACTCTCCTGAGGATGATAACATAACAGCCCGTGCCCTCCTCCCTCCTTGCCCCCAGCTCTCCTCCCACCTCTCTGACAGTTACTGTGGAGGTAGCAGTTCAGCCAAGTGAGAAACTCGAATTTACAGGACAGGCCAATTATCAGCATAACACCAGGTCCTGGGTGGGATCCAAATAGGAAGGCAGGCAAAGAGAAGATGTCTACTAGAAACATCAGCATCTGCACTATCTGCCCCAGCCTACAACATCAGCAAAAAGAAAAGAAAAGAAAAAAAAAAAGCGAAAGAAGGGGAAAGAAATTAGAAAGTTGCTATAAAATTGGATATATTTCAGTCATCCCATCTTAATCTGATATTTTTGTCTTTATTGGGAAAGATTCATTTTTGTGACAGAACAGGGAATTGATAATATAGGCAAAGTGCGGGAAAGAAGGGACTTGATCAGAAAAGTATTGTGAATGAGAAGTGAGATCATTCTTAATGTTTAAGAACGCACTTGTGTCCATACACTTGAAGTCCTTTCTGTCCAGTGCTGTTCTGGACTCAACCACTTTTATTTATACACCTTTTACTTGGAACGCAAAATAGGTGCGTATAAACAGTCATTCGGACAGCTTTGAAATGATCATTTTAGGCCCAACCCCAAGTCTACCACTTAGCCTTTGCGCTTGCCCCTACCCCTCATTTTGCCCTCGATAGCCCTTGACTTGAAACCAAGGGGTACAAAAATTTCCCAGAATACACCAGCTACAGTGGTAAAATGGCTGCATACGGAGGTCAGGAGATGCACAAATTAGTATTTTTTGGTCATTATTATGATTTTTTTTTTAGCAACAAACAAGTATATGTTTTAATACATTTATAAATTGTTTGTTTCACTGACATGATTTAAAAAAAAAAAGATGCTAATATAAAAGCTGCAAAATTTCACCATCTATAATCCATAATAATAACTCCTGTATAGTAGTCCAACAACATACTTTCACATATGACACTCAATGACACTCGATGTGTCATTTAGTGGATGGTAATGGCGTTTTTATATTGTCTGGTATAATGTTAATGCTGTTTTCTTGTATTTACAAATGTAGGTGAATGGCCATGGTGTAAATGCACAGTATAATTATGATCATTGCCACATTACATTGTTATGATAACATATTATATGCCTTCAGTGATTTCCTGAAGATAAATACCAAAAAAACTAACGCAACTGGGCAAACTACAGTAGTTGAATTTAGTAGTTTATTTTGAAACCCTTCCCCTTCACACTCTATTTCAGGGGCCAAGGGGAAGGGGTACCAAAAAAGAATTGTGATTTGGCCTTAAGCCTGATATATACTTTTGCGTCGAGTGATCGGTGGGAACTGGCGGAAGTGCAACAACTTTAATCATGAGGTAAACACAAATCAAAACTTTCAATCTGGAGCTCCTTCACGGACTCGACATTTGTAAACACTCGCTCCAACGGGTTCGCGTGGCTTTCGGTCCTGCCTATACTCGTTAATGGTCAGCTTGGTAGCAATGACATGTTGTGACGTGTACTTACATTTTTTGGGAGGTGTGCGTCAGCATCGGCGATGGAAATGGCAAGGGCTATGCGACCACTCGCAGGCTGTGCCGGAGCATACGTGTGTGCTTGACGCAGAAGCATAAATCCGCCTTTAGTCGCTTTTACTTGCTTTTAACATCTTTGAAGTAATACTGCTGTTGCATCGTGTGCCATTTTAATGGAGCCTCGTCATCGCAGTTATTTACAGTAGTTATTTACTTTTTTTCAAATAAATAACTAACCTTAATAAATGTAATTCACCAAAATGTTTGGCACACACGTACTGTCCCACTAACACATTGATTAAAAGAGTGGCACAAAGTGAAAATAAAGTGGCATTTCCAATTTACAGAAAAACACATACCGTGGTAAATACAACTAAATGAAACATAAACGGCTTCCAATTAGAATCAACATGCAAATCAGCCAGCAGAGTATCAGTAACATACTTTTATTTTTTGAAAATTGCATGGCTTAACGTTACATACTTGTTAAGTTTCATGCCAGTAATATGGTTTGCTCTATGATGCAGTGATCTATTTCTTGTGTGTGTGTATTGAAGAGCTGCTGGGTACAATATAACAGCTGACAGGTTGAGAACATGATGCTGGATTTTAGCATCTGATCTGATGGGAGACACTGAATTAGCAGGAATGAAGTGCTTGAACTGCATCTTATAGAAGCATAACAGCTTTAAGATGACAAAAACACTCTGTAAGCCGCTCAAAATGGTATTGACAACCATTTTTTGATCAAGATTTACTAATTGTAAACGCTGTAAACGGAGTTCTAAGCATCCTACCGGAAGACAATTGTCTCACTATGTTGTCCTCCATGCAGCAACGAAGAAAAAGGCCTATAAGGACGAAAACAGCCGAAACGGTCCTTACAATATAATATTTTGTGTTTCAAAGAAAAAAAGGTTTGAAAGGACTTGAGAGCGAGTAAATAATTTTGGGTGATCCTTCTAAGAATTATTTCAGCGATTCGCAACTTAACGCATAACAATGCCTATGCTTCCTTTTTTCGTGCCACATACATGCAAGCTTGAGAGACAATACACTGCACGGTAATTAA